TTGCAGACAATCGATCACGTCGTCAGCGTCTGACAGTACCACGAGGATGGATGTCAAGGAAGAACATAGCAAAAACTAAACCAGAAGTAGTAGTTCAAGCCCTTTTATATCCACCACTAGACTTACTATACGGACTTCTTCCATAGGGAGTGAGGCTTACAAAATGGAACCCCAAATATGCTCATAGAGTACCTGAAGTTGGCAATTCGAACCAGCGAAAAGAGGGGGGGGGGGAGAAAGGTCATTCAAAAAGATATCAATGGGATAGAATACGCCTGCTAAAGAAGAGTTAGAATTGCTCGTAAATAATTGATTAGAGTGAACAAGAGAATGCATAACGTGGCGGATGGAAGTGATGGATTGACAAGATCGAAGAAAGAACTTCAAAGGAGGTCCCAAGCTCTACAGTAAACGGGAAGAAAGGATGAACAGAGGGTTAAGTAAACGAGCAAAAAGATGGGTAGATTGAGATTTTCGTCTTCACAACACCATTTTGGGCGCTTTTATCACAATATATTATCATCCTCTCCCAAATAACGGGTCAACAAAACTCGTGAATAGTAGGCAAAAAGGATACATTCTGTCCTGTTGTTACTCTTGGCGCAGAAGGCCAGCTAAAAAGCAAAAAAAAAGCATTAGAAAGTGACAGTGGCGAAACGAGACTATTGGGACAACAGCCTCATTTTTGTTCATAAATGTGAGTTTTGAAGGTATCAACGCCACTCGAAACCCCGCCGTTCTAAGATGAAGAAGACCGCCGCTGAAATGGAGTCAGAAAATAACCAATGAATTGACCTTGTTATCGCAAGTTTACACCTGCCTATGTAATCCAGGCTTCGCTATTCTATTGGAAAGAAGGAACATTCTTCACACTGATGCGCTGGAACCTGAATCCACCTAAGATTTTGTTAAAACTTCGACAAAACTACAACTCTTAGCATGAATCCAGACACCATCGTCTTTTCCGCTCTTGAATGAAATGTCTGGTGCCATGGTACCCACCTCACTTCTGGGGCAGTCAATTCCCACTCCCACAATACAGCACCTTCACCGCTCCCAAAGTTTGCTTCGAGAGAGAAGTCACCACTACGGATGAGCCATCAACACTTCCACTACCACCAAACTGACCAATTAAATTGCTGCCGCACAACAACTAATAAAACATAGCCACCCCCTCTCCTCCCAGCAGACCAGAGGCGTTCTCCACCCACTTTATTTTCCCCAACTCAACCACCCCGTTTGGACAGGACTTGATGCAACCACAATTACTATAAGCTGATAAGGACTATTTATAGCATTTTACTTCTTCCCTCTCGCACTCCGATTGCCTAGGCGAAGGACACGCAAACCTCACAGCCGGACAGTATACTTTCTCAAGAGGGTTACGAAGCTCTTGCAGCAAAGTGCGACCGACTGTCAGTGCTGAACTCCATTTTAATAACAAATTGGTTTCATATTTTAAGGCAAGTTCCCATATGGCATTGGAAAGTGCTTTAACATGAGCCATGTTGCCTAGGGTCATTAACAGCCGACAAGTGGAAAATAGGCGGGAGTAAATCGTAAGTAAATAAACGAATGGGGCATTAAACTTCTAGCTCTGAATTGCACGTCTAAGGGACATCAAAATTCCAAGCATCTCTTATCAGGTGCAAACACAACATGAACTTATCATGGATTACCTCAAATGTAATGCTGGTAATTAGGATCACTATTGTCTAGACAAAGGCAATAACCTTCCCTCAATGATAAAAGCGATTGATGGCCCCGTGGTAAGCGCAGAAATAGGCAATTGCCACCACAATAGCTAGTTCTCCTGCAACTCCCACTGACAGTGGAAATATAAAAAGGAAATGGAAGCACTCGTAAACTTTAGAACCAAGTCGTGTCGGTGACATCAGCGCCACTGAAGGAAGGTGAAGCTGCATTTTCATAGGAAAAATACATCAAAAAATACAAAAAACTATGAATATCTCGACCGCCGACTTCCTACCACTAATCGTGGCATGGGGATTCCACCAATATTAAAGGAAAGCGATTACTCCCAAAGCTAGGAAATAGATGTTGGAAAAAAGACCCCATTGAACTTGGTCAAAGTGATTAAAAAGAAGACCCATAAATTAGTGAAAACAATGAATGAATAAGTCCATTCCGCATCTCATCGGCACTTAGGACTTGAAAGATCCAATATCGATGAAAGAGAAAAGTGAATTTGAGTCATTAAAGAATGTTCCGGTCCTTCAAATATGGAGAGGAACCGAAGAATGAAAACTGCTAGAATTTCAGTAGCCTCCAATTCCAAGAGTTTGATTATTGTGTACCTACAAAGTGACTGTAATCTTATTCTTATTTCATTCATCTACATTGCAGCAACGGAAAGCTACAACACCTACTCATTAGCATAGCGTTTGACTGACAGCATTAAAAGGAGGGAAATCCATTAAACTGTAAAGTTGTAATAGTTGTGGCCCATAAATTATTCTTCTAACACCAGCAGGAACCATTGTGAAGAAAAGGATTAAAACAACTACTCCACGTTTCGTTTCACCACTTTAAACAAAAATAAGATACTACGAACAGTGCTAAACATCCTTGACGTTCCCAGTAGTTTATAAGGAAATCTTTAAAGAACGCCATGCAGGACTACAGCACTCATTTGGACCAACTTTTAACTGCACGGACTCTTCAGTCCCCAGTTCTTGACGCTGTTGAACTTATGTTACGATTTCATTGTTCGCAAGGCAAGCACAGGCAAAACTGAATTGCTTACTCAACAGCATATTTTAACACGGTTTCTGCCGGCGACACAGATAAGTGACACGCTGTGCACATTATCAATACATGGCCATTGTGCCTACGCCAAACCACAACACAGTGGTTGAGCTCTAACGGTAAATGCCGTATTTCCTTAGTCCAAGAATAACTGGACCAGAACAGTCTATCATTGTGGACGTGTAAGCAGTTCAGAAGTATCAAGCCAGCCCATATTCCAAAGTCTGGTTTAAAGAAGAGTTCGTTGATCGGTTTCTATTGAACGCATCTCAAAAAATCTTTCAAAGTCAAAGAAATACCTAATTACAAACACGTATAGGATGAAGAAACTACCGTACTTTATTTAAATGCGCAAGAGTATCAGCAATACCAGCCTTACCCTAAACTCTGCCGCTCAAGAGATCAGCAATCCAATTTCAGGATGCCATAGCGATCGTGCAAATGTGAATCTAAGCTTCTTCTAAGAATGCAGCTCGCCGAAAAAGCTCTGAATACCCAACAAAAGCACCAGAACACACAGGTATGACATTAATCTGGAAAATAGGAGAACTAAAAAGATTTTTCCCTGGACGCAACATTTCACTTGTAGTGTAATAAAATAACCATGGTTGACGACGTGACTCATCGGAATGGAAAACCGGCATGGCATTCTTGCAATATTTAGTGTCTTCTTATAGATAAAATCCCGGAATGAGCGGACCTTGGGATGAAGCCTTACTTTTAACGAAGTGTAGATTAGTGACTTTAATTCAATGCGGATAAGTCTACCATACTACCATTAGGGTCAAATCAGTGCATAACAGTAAGGTCCTACCTTAACAACAAAAATAATTTAGGAAACACGCTCCTTATCTTTCAAAAGGGTAGAGATAGAAGGGGATAAAAAGGAGAATGAACGACTCACGAAGTAGAGACAGGCAGCCAAATGTGGGAAAGTAGGATTGTAGCGCAGACCCTCGAGACATTGAAGACAGAAGATCTGGGTGTTGGTCAAGTCACCAGAGACCCAGGCTATCTGGAAAAAAGAGGAGGTAGAAACAATGAATAAAGCAAGAAATACAAAAAGACCTAGTTTTTGAATATCAAGCTCATTCTATCCGTAAGCAAAAAAAATTGCAGGACAGCTAGAGATCATAAGTCTATGCAGAAGAGAACATAAATAGTTGTCATAGAAGTAGGCACTACTAAATAGGTGCAAGGAAATGTGTAAAAACAATGAAAAATTCAAATGGAACAGGAAATGGAGTAAAAGCGCATTAAATGCACGGCTTATTGAATGACTGAAATAACAAGAAATAAAATAATTGACATATATATATGTTTGCTGTCAAACCTGGAATAAGAGGTGGATGCAATTGTACATGGAGAACTCAAAACTTCAAAGAATAGAAACAAAGACAGAGAACGCATTTTCCAACTGGTCAAAACGCTTGGATGTGGGATGAAGGTTCCGAAGAACCACGATTAGATAATTAAGGTAGAATAAGGAACAAAAAAGCAAACTATGAAGTGCCCAAGGAAAGTATCACAATACTCAACTAGAAAGCCACAGACGAGTTATTCAAAATAAACAGACGCAATCTAATGGTTTGAAACAGGAAATAATAGCCTTAGGAAGGGCCAAAAGAGCCTAGACTTCTAGGAGAGAATAATCCTACTAATAATGTGGAATCAAAACTGTCCAACTAAGTGCTGAGCAGGCGAAAAGGTCTGGAGTGACACCAAGTATACAACACAATTGGTTAATCCCACTAGATACGGTAACGTTGAAAACGAGTGATAGAACCAAGTGCCGACTCACGGCAGCTTTTAGGAAAACCGGACCGCATTGAATGGCAGAACTCTGAACTATGCTCATCCTAACGCCATCTGCGACATAATTTCCGCACACTGAATTATTTACACGCCGACAAACGCCCGAACACACCAACAAACATGCATTTGAACTCTATTTTTTAAAACATACTTAGAATCATCAAGAAAAAAGCAAGCAAAACATTTTATTAAAAATATTGTTACAACCCTTTATTGGCCCAAAACGTGCTATAATCACTTGATAAGGATGATTTGTAGCAAGATCATCCTAATTTTTGATTTGTTCCTGGTACAAACATAAACATTAATGTGTGAAAAGGCAAGAAAATCCATTAGTTTGCATTATTAATTAGTTTTAGTTATTTATGAAAAACGATGTCAGTGGCGAGAGCAAAAGTGTTTCAGAGCGCCATCAAGGTGCCAGAGCACCCTTGCTTGCAATACTTTTGCCTAAATACGCAACTATACCATTCTTTACGTGGTGTGCCTGCCCATTTTAACCAGATAAAAGATAGGTGTGTGGATTTTATCCCGCAATCTTGAAGGGACAGCCCCTAGGTCGTGTTTTAAGAATTCGGTCCACTTGATCCACGCTTCGCTCCCCCATATAAATATCTACTTTGACACAAACACTTCCCAGATAACCTTCTCAACCATGTGGCGAGTTCAAACACGTGCACCCCTAGTCCATACTGCCACGTCATTACACTGTAAGCGAGGCGAAACAGGGAACTTGGATAGCCAGCCATGACATCGGTATTATTTACAATCAGAAAGGAAAGAGTAATGCTTGAAAATCAGTCCAAGGTATTTGTCAGGATAGATGGTGCAAAATCACAGCGTTTTTTTTTTGCTAAAAGGGAAACAGAAGTACGTGGTTAGCAGTTAGGAGTATAATGGACAATTACACAGTAAGCACAATGGTAAAAATTATTTGGCGTCTTGAGCTTACAGCAGTCGATGTTGCTTTATAAAATGAAACCGACATTTTTAATTGAAGGGTTCGAGCAGAATCACAGCTGAAAGCTCACCGAACTGAACTTTCCGAAGGAGATATCGGCTTGAACACACGTGTTCGACTAAAGCAGATGGTCTAAAAATGAGCTGGAGGAAAAGAAATTAAAGGTTTTCCTCAATCTTCACTGGGGGTAAAATTAGATTTGAACGAAATGAAATGGTCTCCAAGGCACAGCCTCCAAGACCTAATCAACCGGCAGACAGACCAACAGACAGGCAGATGAAGCAGACTACAGGGATGTAAGGAAAAAATTTACAGTAAAACCGCACCGCACCTCGAAGTAGATTCAAGAGTCGTCTCCAGGTGTTTCCACTTCTGCTTCTTCAGAGGCAGGATGCGTCAAAGAAGGAAGTGTGACGGTGATGGCGAGTGAGGCCTCCTCCTTGCTGTCGAAGCTCTGCGCCATCCCCCCCACCGAGCCGTCCAACTCTTCGTCGTGATCGACATCGACAATGGAAATAGTCTCACCTGCTGTCGTGGAAGAGGGGTGACGGCGGAGTGGTTCTACACCACAGGGCTCCAACAGCAGAGGACGCGAGGCTCCAACGCTGTGCAGAAAGTGGAAGGTAAGCGAAAGGGAGAAATGCCTCACATCACTTCCATCTCCACTAGTCCTCCAATCCTTCTGGAAACATTGATAGTGAAGCTACTCCCAGCCAACAATTAAAGAAGAATAGTAGATTCACTATACTGTGATCGACAGAGGGAAACTCACTACTGATGCGCAGAATAAACGAGCCCTGAGGAGACAGTTCGAACCGCCTCGTCCTCTCTCGCTATCACTGCCACTGGAACGGTGATGGCGCTGGGGGCTTTGGTGGAGGCGGTTTTAGAGGTGTTGGTCGACTTGTGAGTGGAGTCGACGAGGAAGGAACGTCGTGTGACCGAACAGAGGCTGTCAAGCTCCTCCTCTCCGCCACTGACGTTTGTTCTTGTGGATGGGGTTGTGACTTGCGGCGAGGCTTGCCGAGGTGACTGTCCGAGGCATTCAGAGGAGGGGGACTTCGGAAGGCTAAATGAATGAGAATAAGGTAACGCTCCGTTTGGTAGCAAGAAGGGAAGCAGTGGTTTTTTGATCTCAAATGAGTTACTCTGGTTCAGATTTCCTTCCAGAGGGAGAAGGCTTCACCCTTCCACCGGAGCATTGCTGAGCCAGCCTCTCCAGCTGACGAATAGACGAGTTCTTCGCCAGAATCTGCATACGAAGTCGTTCCAATTCCTCCAAAAACTCCTTCGCTCGTGCATCATTCTCCCGAATGATTCGACGCAGACGCTTTGCCTCGTTTAGCGAGTGTTCCAGCAACCTACAGGAAAAAAGAGAAAAATTAATAGAATCGAAAATCTTCCACATACGGGGATTACTGAAAAACCTACTCAGCACGTTTAAACAGTCGAGATTTGAGATCCATGGCGATGGCCTTGAGTTCGGGATACTTACGTGCCTTCTCAGCCAACTCCTCACTAATCGCGCGTTCCGCATTCATCGCTCGACAACGAAGAATGTCCACCTCGGCTTGCAGCGTCTGGTAGTCTTGACGAAGATGCTCCAGCTCGGCCTCCTTTGTCTCCAATTCAGCGTTGAGCTCCTGCTCTCGGAAGGCCAGAGTTTCACAACGTTCTTCATCTGGGAAATGGGCATTTCCATCCATATAGAGCATCTGGATTTCAAATCTAACCACTCAACTGCGTATTTCAAACCGACTCATTCCTCCCTTCATGGGAATCACAAAACTAGAGCAAAAAAGAAGATAGATTCCTTACAGACTGCGTATCTGGATTGCGAAGATTCCAGGAGGCTGGAGTATCTCGTTTTTATTTGCCTAATTTTGCTCTCGTAGGTCTAGAAATGCAGAAATTCGGATGCAATAGCAGTGGCTCATAAAAGTGGAGTCCTGAAAAAAACCAGCCGATATCCACTCGTGTCCCATAAACGCAATGCTTCTAAATTCCCTTTGACGGCTGCAAAATCTATCGGTTAGACTCACCTCAACTTGCTTCTGCATCTCCTCTTCCAAACCGTTGACCTTGACCTCAAAAGAGCTCGTGAGATGTTGAACTCTATTTTCTTCTTCCTCCTTCCTCTCCTCCACCGCCGACTGGATTCTGCCTTCCAAACCGGCCAGCAGGCAGTCAAAGACAGCGATAGGGGAGGGAGGAGCCGTGCCATCGACTTTTGTGACGCTTTGCGCCCGAACCATGAACTGTTCCAACTCGCACCGGTGACGCGTGACCTCATTGTCCGCCTGTTCTAGGCGCTCTCGAAGGTTCATGATTGTCACCCTGGTTTGATCCAACTCTTCCAACAGATTAGCAGCGTGAGTGTTGGCTTCTGTGAGGCGATCCTTGATGAAAACAACAGGCACTTCCACAGTCTTAGATATTCTGTATCACAAGTCAAAGACAAATAAATCCTAGAGTAACCATGGTGGCGGGGCTTAGAGAGTTGTGTACTTCAACTGCCCGGGATAGAGAAGGTGAGAGAGGGAGAAAGAAATAATCAAGGAATAGAGAGATTTACAATCAAAAGTTTGGCGAGTCGCCTAGCCCCAACTCCGACTTCCAGACTTTTTGTGACCCACCCACATTCTCAACCATGCCAAAGACTACTTTACACATTAAAAATGCCTTCACCCAAACAGCTTGCGAGGTAGGTAGAAAACGCGCGTGTCAACCTCTAATTCGTCGATCCGCCTGTTGCGCTCGCGGGCAGTGTCCTCGGAGCGCTCCAATTCGCTGCGCAGCTCATCACAGGTGGCGCGGAGGTCGGCAAGGGTTGCTTCGTATTGTCGACGTGCCGCACTCCACTCTTCCGACAGGAGGATATGCGCGTTTTGTAGTTCCACGTTCAGCACTGACAGCCGGTCGCACTTCGCTGCCAGAGCTTCGTAATCCTCCTGAGGAAGTGTGCTATCCGTCCGTGAGGTTTGCGCGTCCTTTTCCTAGGCAATTGGAGTGTGAGGGTAATGAAGTAAAATGCTATAAGCAGTCTTCATCAGCTTGTGGTAACCGTGGTTACATCAAGCCCTGCCCCAAACAGGGTGATTGAGTTGGGAAAATGAAGTGGCTGAAAGGAAAGATGGTCACGCTTTATTAGTTGTTGTGTGGCAGCAATTGAGTAAGTCAGTTCGTTGGTAGTGGAAGTGTTGCTGTTGCAACCGTGGTGGTGGGTCGCCTATCGGCAAAGACCTTGGTAGGGGTGAAGGTGCTAAGTTGTAGGCGTGTAATTTGACTGCCTGTTGATGGATTCAAGCACCTCAGAAGTGAAGTAGGTACCACGACACGAAGGCATTTCAATCCAAAGTGAGGAAAAGGATGCTGTTTGGCGGTTGAAAGTAAGTAATTCTACAGGCCAGAAACGATCATGCTTCAAGATGAAGTGAGATGGAGTGAAAGTAATTGGTGCTTGGAGGACATAAGGCTTTTGGTTGATTTCTACTTTACCCACCCCAAGACGCCGCGAACATAGCATAGAGAGAGATCGCAAAAGAACAAAATTATAATCATGATGCGTTGGAAGGAGATGTGTAGAACTATCCACCTACTTGGAACAGTTTTCCTATTTTTTTTTGTGTGTTGTTCAAGTGAGGAAAGTTGTCGATGAATTCGCATTCCAACACTTCCAAGTTCGATTGTCTGAACAGAACGGAAAACGGTGAAACGGTTTTTACCAGCATCGGGCAAAAGAGAAGTCACAGGAAGCTCACATCAGAGGCAGCATTGAGGCATTCTGAAGAGCAGCAATAAATTGCTTAAGCCACTCGCGACCTTTGCTTGACCACTCCGCAAACGCGTTATGGTTATCATCTGCTGTCCCAAAAGCAGAAGACACTGACGAAGCAGAAACTCTTCCCAAACTGTTGATCTCAGCCACTGCTAGGGTCTGAACGTGTGCCATCATGTCGAAAAAGCGAGTGAGGAGATCGTTGATAAGGTTGAAATTGATGTCGTGGAATCCGTTAGCCGGATCTAGGCAACGAAGTTGACAATTTTTTGATAGCATACCTTTTTGGAAGGCTTCTCTGAAAGGGAGAGCAAAAGAGAAGAGATTGAAGACATTGATACAGATACGTAAGATACTAGAAGACGCTACAAGTTAGGATTTTATCGACTCTACCGATTGATATGTAACAGACGCTTGTCAAGACGACAAGGTTCTATCATAAGTAGTAACTTATTTACCTTTAATCTGAATTAATTATAAGTGCTCCTCACACAAAAAGTCGGACATGACGACCTACTCTTCAGCAATTTCCGAGAATCCTGTATGAGGTCGTGAGATGTTCGCCAGCGTGTCAGCTGAGACTGAAGGTGTCCGAGTTCCAGTCTCCGTCCGCGTCTGCGTGTATTCTACATTGTCTTCGTGGTCGTCTTCGACATCTTCACCGTCGCCATCTCCTTTGACATCCTCGACTGGTTGTGAAGCCAAAGCCGTGAGCACTTCTGTGGCAGCTCGAAATGAAAAGTCTTCAACGGCGTCTTGGATCTTCGCTACCTGAGCGCGACAAGGGATTTCTGGCTCACTCACTATTTCAAATGATTAGCAGGAAGTGTGGGCACACTGACTTTCGTGATTTTAGTCATTTGAGCCCTCACTACCATCGTATTGAGGTTTCAATCCCAAGTTTTGCGCGGTTTTTGAAATACGCTCAATGTGTAACACCTTTCAGCCTTAGACAACTGAAGCTCTCCTAGCATCCTCAATAAACCTACCGCCAACGTGACACGGTCAAAGAAGACTCGATTTTGGGCCTCAATGGCAGAGACGTCTAAAGATTTGACATCTTCACAAGAGATGTCGAAAGTGGCCTCTGCGTCCTTCTCCGTTGCCATTGCGTCACCACCATTCTTCAAGTGATCAATGGTTGTCACAACAAAAGTAGAGTGAGAAAGGGTTAAGACATTCTCATCATCTTCCTCATCTCCGACTTGAAGAGGCAGAACTGCCGAATGGATTTGTCGAAGATCACAACCCACCTCCACAGAGGCATTTACCAGAAGACTTCTATTAATCGTTCTACTGAGAGATAGCTGCAGAGGGTGAGTAGAAAGGGGGATTAAAATTAAACATACCTTCATAGCTCGAATGCTGTCAAAGTGACTGAGGAGACTTTGAATGATGAGACGGACTTCTTTCAGCCTATCCACAGAGTGAAAGGCGGCTGTGGTGACGCACCCACCCTCGTCACCCCTCGGCATAGAACAGAGCTCTGATGTCTAATTTTGACGAAGAAGTGAGAGTTGACAATGCAGCTCACCTCCATCACTGAGATTTCTGATTGTAAGCGCTTCAGAGCTACCTGCAACTCCTGGATGGTCTTATCAAGAATGCCCCCGGAAATGTGGAGGGGATCGACGACATTTTGAACGGGGTCTTCGATCTCAGATGCAGGTTCTTCTGCACAAATTGTCTCCTCGACTTTACGTTGGAGAAAATATGTAGTGATGACTATTATTTTATGAGATCATAGGAAGAACTGCCTACAGTGCTAGTGTGAGCGGTTTTTGAGCATAAATTTTTACAGAGAAGCCCAAATGCCTAGGGCATCTAATACTAAAGAGAGCTATGGAAATTACTTTAATAGAAGGACAAAAAAAGTTAGTTTTAAAATATACCACAAATGGGAGGTTCGAGAGGAGGATGAGTAGATCTTCTAGATAAAGTGCTGTGGACAATAACTTCCTGTTCCATCACTTCAGACCTGCCAGAATGAACACAAATCTAAGAGACAGGAGAATGCACTGAGTGGCAGAATTTACCTCTTCTGGTATAACTTTGTCATTGATCTGTTCTGGTGTCGCAGTCCGGCCAGTCATCAAATCGTAAACAGCTATGTCACGTTCCTGAAGCATCTAGAGGGATCGAATAAACAGGTAACCTGACCCACCTTATCCAGATTTTGGAGTTGGCGTGCGTGTTCACGCTTCAACCTTGCTTCGTTCTCCTTAAGGTGGTTTAATTCGGTGGTCAGTGCCTCACATCGATCTCGATCTCCAAGAAGATCAGATATGCGGTCTTGAAGGCCCTGCACCTCCTTCCTGTACTCCTCCAAGTTCTCAGCATGTAGTGCCCTCTCCGTTTGCAGCTGCTCTGACAGGTCAGCCAGTTTTGACTGGCAGCCTGTCAGGTCCTGCTTACAGGTGCTTAGTTCCTTGTTCAATGAGACATTTTTGTTCATCAGATCCTCAATAATCAGTCGGGCAGCATTGTATCGCCGCAGGAGTTCAGTGTATTCCTGAACCTTTGGTGAGGTAATTAATTCTGAAAGGCGTTTTGACGAATCAGTGTTCAAAATGGACCTGGTTCGTGGCGGAGGAGTCGGTGAAAAATGAGATCTTGCCTCGAATTCTTGAGCATCACCCATGGAAGGATCCGTTGCTGTTCCTACAGTGATGACTTCTCTGCAAGAAGTAGCATTAAGCTCCGTTTCTAGAAGAGCAATTCTTGACTGGGCCTCAGAAAGATGCTTTTGAAGCTCGGATATTTCACTTTAAAACATAGAAGTGGGTAAGTGTTTCAACTGGGAGAACTTTTTAAATTTCGTAAATGCAAGCTCACTATTTCTGTGCATTTTCAACCAGCGAGGACTCGTCTTCAGTCCTTTCGCGATTGCTTTCAGTTTGGAGCTGAAGTCTCTGCTGAGTTCGCAACTCCTCGGTCAGGTTATGATAGCGCTGAAGCCATTCTAGCAAGGGATAACTTGGAATATGAACCAAAGACTACCTCGTTCCGAAGATTGGAACTTGGAAATCAAGTCTTCGTGATCAGCGTGAAGAATTTCATTCTCGGATTTTAAAGATTCGAGCATTTTACTACAAGTCCATGCTAATTTTTCGTAAACTTACGATGCACAGTTTAACAAATGCGATTTCTCTTGTAACTGGTCCGAAAGACGAGAATTCTCACTTTTAAGGTCGGTAATTCGCTACAGAAATGAGCTAAAATATTACGAGCTTTACAAGGACAGGGTTGCCTTTTGAGTCGCTTTCATAAATCTTCCTATAATTGTGGCATAAAAGGAGGAGACTGAAATTATCTCTCCGCAGCTTCGTAAGTTCCTTAAGAATTAGGAATGGTTTACATTGCGCACCTCAGTCACGTCAGAATTAGTGAAATCACTAGGCCCGCTTAACATATTCACATCCGCTGACTCCATTCTAAAGTACTATAAGTACTTTACAGTATACAGCATTACCCATTTTCCCCGCTCGTAAAAAATTGTGAAGACAACTTATTAATTGAATCCATTTACGCAAAATATACAGGTCAATATTCGTTTATTTGCTTATTTATTGTTAAATTGCTAGTGGCTGCGAGCACATGCACCACTTTTATTTTAAGCGCTTTTCTAAGTAGTTGATACGTCGCTATAGAAAAAAGCCTTTAGTGGCTTAGTTGAGGAACTAATATTCAGTATGGTACACCGCAATATATATTAAAAGCCAGCCGGCTATAACTTGACCACAATTATATGAAAAAACATGGCCTTATAAGTAGGAATAGCACAATTTTAGTGTACTTTCCAATTCTGAGAAAGGTGAGCAGTATCAGGGTTGCATTATAAGTAAGACATATTCGGTGCCAGGTCAGCTAAAAGATAGCGAGGAAATAGTAAGGGCTTTGAAGATGACAATTCCAAAGCTACTGTCTGTCAGGGACGGTAGGTAAAAGAAACCACTTCACCATTGACTATACGGGGTAAACCGACACTCCAAATTGATATAGATATCATTTTTGCTCCACTTAGTATTGTTCTTAAAAATGCACAGTACAGGCCGATTTTTCCATAAACAGTTTATTTTTTAACCTACGGAAACAAAATTTTGCGAAAACCATATGTAGCGTCCCGAGACTCCCTGAAGACGAAAGAAGACAAAATACTCGGGCAGAATATATATATTCAGCACGGGGAAGGTGTCTGGGCTATTGGCATGGCCCAAAAGGCCAGCCCACCCAGCGAGGCACAAGGGGGCTAATTCGAAGTACAAAAGTTTCGCCTCACCAAAACCGAGGGATAAACCACTATTGTATTACATAGCCTCCCTCCTCTTTTGAGCGTCGTCCCCGGCGCTCCCACAGGTCAACCTCCCGCGTCAGCCACTACAACGTAGTCGGTGCAGTAAAGAAACACCCACGAGCTAACCGTGCCAGTCACCAAATTAGCGTGCAACTGAGGGGATACTTGACCTCAACGTCACTGTTCCCTCTTGGCGGCTTGACTGGATCTGGGGTTTCGTCCGGTTTAGGGATTTGATTCAGGACGGTAGGGGAAATCCGTAACGAAACTTCCAGGTGTTTCACGGCTAGTGTCGCTTCAGTTGTTAATGGCTTTTCTGCAGAACACGGGACTGGGAGAGATGCCGAAGGTAGACGTCAACATCAACCCTTCTGTTAGGGGTCATCACCATTCTCCCATCCGTAGCATATGCACTTCTTCCGCTCCACCAAGGCTTATCACGCAGAAGTGGAGAATCAGGATATATGTCTTTCAAGATCGGGTTCGCTTTCCGCTGCCACCAATGTAGCGCCCCGAGACTCCTTTAAGACAAAAGAAGGCACAATACTCGGGCAGAATATATATATTCAGCACTGAGAAGGTGTCTGGGCTATTGGCATGGCCCAAAAGGCCAGCCCACCCAGCGAGGCACAAGGGGGCTAATTCGAAGTACAAAAGTGGCGCCTCACCAAAACCGAGGGATAAACCGCTATTGTATTACACATAACTTCCGTCTATCGCAGTTGTGTGATTTTGGTTTTACGTACATTTTCTACTACGCAGGGACTTCTATCCCCGTAACATACCCCTGAACTGTTTTGTTTACTTTCTACGTTTCCTCTACGCTTGTACTTACATCTACTAGAAGGGGTGAGTTGTGGATGAGTGCCTAATGCTACGGGATGACAGTGAATTTTCAGCCCTATCAACTTGTTATTCATCCCCTCATTTACTGTCAGATTGCTTTCTAAGTGACTGATTGACTGACGTGAGATGGAAAAAGCGAGTATTACGTGGAATGGTGGGGCGAAAAGATAAACTCGATTTTGGAACAATTGTGTCGGCTTGTAAATATATTATCTCCCTCTCTCACTTTAGCTGCTGTAGCCTCACCTCCCCCCAAACTCCTTACCTTTAACCTCTAGTCAAAACATATGAAAGAAGAATACAGTAAATGCCTTTGTGGTAAAATACTGCCTGGACTGCAACAATATGAAGCCATTTCACTACCCCCCTTCCTCCAAAACCGTCCATAGATGGGACGAAAGGCTAAACATATTAGAATCACCAAAGTGAGCCACACACCTTCTCGCACGACCTCCGTTTCTGTATCACAGACGGTTTTTGAGGCAAAAAAGATTGACCAGGAGTTTGCTAGAGGACGGCGCAGGAAAAAAAAGGGAGTCTGCTTATTTTGTTTTTCGCCTAATCATATGTATGACCATGTGGAAGTCTCAATCTTGGCGGGTTTCACGCTCTTCACCATGGCTACCAGGTCCCCTGCCAATCTTTACACTGGTAATATATATTCGCCTGGCTTATTGTAGTCAGCCGAGCATTCCGTAAAGACGCACTAAGCTAAAGCAGAATGGCGGATCATATGCTGCTAGTGTAGAGGAGAGATGAGAGGTTATTGAGGTAAAACCAGCACGCTTTTAACGACACAGATGTACAAAATATCAAGCTGCTGCTCTTTGTTTCAGTAAAGCGAACAAATCGAACCTGACTAAATCGTGCTCACTGCTAAACGTTAATGCTAGCAATATTTTGCTCCCGGGTTTGCACGCACTAATCATTTATTGTTTCTAGATGCATTTCATGCTCAATAATGTGTAGGGTTTAACAATGCACTAGTCCCAGTAGCTACAAGTGTATTCCTGGAAGCCATTAGAAGTGGGTGTGGAGAAGCAGGCTATACAATGGAGACGTAGAGAAGATTCGAGATACTGGTATGGTCCCGAAACTATAACCCCAAGAGAAAGTATAGTCTGCAGTTGCCTGGCCATAAAAAGGAAAGTTAAACAAGATATCACGGCACTGCACTGGTTCGGATTATCAAAAATGGAGGTGTGACTACACCTATAAGATGTAGCAAACAGATGCAAAATTTGAGTTTTAAGGTAATACTTATCCAACTGTATACCAAGCCATTCTTAAAACGTTTCGCTGAAATTCTCAAAACAGAGATTTTCTGTGAGTTAATTGAGGTCCCAAAAGGCGGTTAACAAGAAGCCTGCCTATGCCAAAAAATAGTAAGGCAGCCCTTTGATCTTTGGGTAAGTCTTTATATAGATTTCAATAAGGTTAAATTGTTTAGTAACTTGAAGTTCTTTTCAAGGTCATAGTTCTCTAAAGCACATTAGAGAAGGTGGTGGGGCGTGTGTAGCCTGTCGGCTGCGGTCTCACTTCACGTTCGGTAGGAAGGTTCCTTAATCACTTGCGTGATTTAGTCATTATAACGCATTTGTCAGTCTTCTGACACCAGGCCAACTTTCGACTCCAGCTATTCGATGGAGCTGCCGGATTTTTCAAGTCTTTGGGAGGCCAGCAGTACGTTAGAAAAGTTGCAGGAAAGTCTCCTCAAAGATTACTCACCACGGAATCGGGTAAATGCGCAAGATGTAAGCTATAGCCTATTGCCTGACTTTCTTGCCTTGCTATGTCACTTTTGCTATCATATAGTTTAATGCCTTGTAGCTCTAACGCAGGAGATGGTACATAACTTTATTGGATTTTACCTTTACAAGTCCCGTCGGCTTGAATTGTTCAAGTTGGTTTTGCATTGTGGTCCGATGTACTCATTCATATGAGCTTAATTAGTAATTACTCCTCCAAAACTCATGAAGTTGTTTGGGGTGATTTTTTTCTCACCAATGATGTGGCGATCTACAGTGTTTCAACAGTTTAGACGAGCTATTCCTACTTACCAATTATTTAACTCCATTTTTTTTCTTTTGTGAACTTTCCTATCGTTTTGTGTGCATGTCAATTGAAAATTATCATTAACGGAAACTGCCGTGCTGTATCATATTATCGTACGTTAACTAAAATATCACACTAAGCTCTGCAAAGAACTCCTGAATGTTCTCCCCCCCAAGCGCTTTTAACTTTGTGGTACCCTGTTTTCGTTGCCTCATTTTCAGCCAATTATGTTGGGTGTTGGGCTCATCTTGAATGTCTCATCGGTTTGTCAGTGTTAAGTCGTTAAAATATAATCAGTCTTCGAGAAAAAGGCTGATTCCTCCTCCTTTTTTTCGAAACATAATGCATTCGGCCATTCAGATATATTTATTGCCTTATCAGTTTGGTGTTTCAAATTATTCCTTGTTATATGTAGTAGCACGTCGGACCTTTTCCCAACTTGCAGTCCTTATGCGGTTTGAATTGAATGTGCGCGCCTTCTTACACCTATGCTTCGATCTCATTTTTGCCCAAAGTTAAGATTATTCTTTCGGACTGAAATCCTTGGTTCATCGATCAACCTCATCCGCGGCATCACTTGTATTCAAAGCTGTTTGTGTGCCTTCGCTGTTCCTGTAAAAGAAGTAGCACTTAAAAACAAGTTGAATTTCCGATTAATCTATGGCTTGATGAAGATTTTCCAAATTAAGAAGATAGTGTAAAGAGTCATCATAGCCCTGCGTCCTTTTTTCAGTGACAGTCTTACGAATGTATTACCTCTCAGTTGCGTTACTGACAGCCATTTACCAAAAGTATCCAACCACTGGCGCCTCTAAAACAACAATCCATAGTTGATAGTGTGCTGGTCCAGTAAGCAAGTCCTCTTTTTCTTCCTGTTGGGGACTAAAAGGATAAGATATTAGCTAAGTGCTTCTAAAATGCTGTATATGACGAGGGAGAACATTCAAGATCTTTCTCTTTTAGCGTTTCTTCAGCATCATTGGTTGCCATAGCCCCGCATGCCTCGAGACCTGCTCATAATCTGATCAGCACCAATGTAATTGCTTAACTTGTCTTAAGGAACTGTCTCAGTAATTCATAAAGCGTTTTATAAAGGTTCTGAAACCCTGACTTTGCACTGAATACTCCATTCTCTACTGGACCGGTAAACGCGGAATAACCTTTAAACCGCGGGATCACCGAAATCAGTAAGCAAATGTTTACGGTTCTAATGTGCTATTCACTTTCGTCTAAAGGAAAGTACTGTGTTTGGTACCCAGATGAGAGTTGGTCTTGAGTCGGGAAAGCTTATAAAAATTTTTATGGAAGGCGATAGAACAGATTTAGAACCCTGATTTTACGCAGTCGATGTTTCTCGTCTCATTCCACTAGCACCGCAGACGCGATCCCGACTCCTACAATAATTACTACAGCGACGGCATCTGCGGCGTCTCTTTCGGCATCGCAGAGCCCGAGTTCGCCAACCCCCTAGCGACGTGTTGCGAGCAGCACTTTTTCACTGCCGAGGAATTGGACCGCCACACCGCTGAACACGTCGTCTGCCCCGGCATCCCCGGGATGGAGGGGAGTAGCTGCGGTCACAGTATTCATCCCTCTGCCATCGCTTTTCACCTGGAGACGGAGCATGCCACCGCCAACTCGGCCGCAGACACCAAGGGTGATGCTGAGCACAATGGTCCCGCTCTTAAACGGTGGCGCGAGGCTAGACGCAGGTGAAATTTCCCCCTCTTCCTTGAATTGATTTTAATCAGGCTCTCCTCAAATTTTTTTGTACTGTAGGAACTATCCCACATTTGAACGCGTCCAAGCAAAGATTCGTGAGGTGGGCTATCGCATTGACCGCGGACAGGTCCTGCTGACTAGGAAATTTGGGTAGGAGTTGTTAAAGCTGTGATACTTTGGTGTGAAATCCTATGAGGTGGCAGACTGAATGTCTGTCCAATTTTTGCCGTGTAAAATTAACCTATTTCCAGTCTTCTGATTAGTTGACTTTAGCTGACAAGGTAATGGTGATCTGATGAAGTTTGATCAGGCATGCATGGTAACATTGGAACAGGCTTGCATTTAGATCACGTTAGGAGGACTTCCGACTCGGATATTGCAGAATTTGATGACATTACGTATAAAGTAACTTCTAGATGACAAATTCAACTGAGGGGTAATCCGTACTAGAAGCAAGAATGAAAGCTTAAGGCTGCTCCTCCGCGACCATACTTCTAGGTGTGACAAATAGGCCTTTGCATATCTGGGCAAAGTATAAACTCCACTGTAAGCCCAGCACGATGACTCTCTCCTAGTTTTACGCTCCTTATAAACGATGCCTTTTGGAACCCTCTAGTTCTCTGAACTCACGAAAGCCGCGGGAATTGCGGAAACCCCGAGACGAAAGTAATAAGAGGCCCAAGTTGCAGGCAAACTGTGCCAACATTCTTTCTTCCGTAAGACAAGCATATTCACCATACTTTACTTTAAAATCTAGCGTGGTTCCTTGAGAGTTCGACCCTTTCTCCTTCTTCTTTCTAGCAACAAACTCAACCTCCGCCTTTGGTAAGCAGCGGCCCTCCTATAGCTAATCAGTCTCGAAAACTTATATGCGCTGGTCGTTGTTAAGTAGGTGTTATTTTTTTAGCCACAGAGGGCGAATGCAAAATCGCGTTTGAATTATCCACCTGCGTTGGATAATCTCGAGTTAGCGACTAACAGTGGCGATGTTGGAAGGCCAGTATGTTCATCACTCGATGGCAAATTTCCCATTCTATCGTGCCTATTTAAATAACGGCTGTTCTCCCTTTTCAGACTCCGTTTGTGGAAGATGTTGAGGGCACACCTGAAGTGGGGATAGACTTGCCAACTGTACGCGGCAATGAGGACGAGGAATCTCCATCCGTACCAACCCCAATACCTCGACCCCTCGTCAGCTACGACAGTGATGTTAGTTGGTCGGAGCAGCTAGAAGAGATTGAAGAGATTGAGCCCCCTGCGGTTGGTTGTTTTGGTGCTTGTGGTCGATTTTTTAACTCGCGGATCAGTTTCTAACGTTGTTGATGTTATTTCAGTCCTCGTCCGCAAAGAAGACTCTTCTTGAACAACTCGAAACTGTTCAACCGAAAAACGCGCAAGAGGAGGATACCCATGGAGACCCTCAGACTACACTTAGCTCCAATAGTAGGCTCCGGTCGTTTTAAAATAGCCTTTACTTGTAAAATTTTGGCAGCCTTTTCACTTTTTTCTCCAGCTTCTAAGGAGCGCCGAATCGGCCGCCCAAAACGGGACAAACGAGGACGACGGCGGAGGGAACGACGGGATCGAGCAAGGAGCGATGCAGAAGATGAGAATGAACCGACAACATCTACAGCAGCGGATGATGGGGAGGTGGAAATCGACGAGGTATCCGCCAAGGGTGGAGTTAAGGCATTCGCTGCTCATCCCCTCGTCCAGATGTTCGCTAGACGTCGCGCCTGCATGCGACACGCCTCGCTGATCAGCAAGAGGCCCACTCTGTTGCAAATGGTGCGTTGTCGAAACGCTGAGTGTTATTCCCTTTCCCTCTGTCTAACATTGGAATAGCAGTTTTATTTATCCCCCCGTTTATTTTTAGCTGCTCGCAGAGGAGATGCGACACGAGAGGAATCAGTTGATGCAGTGTGTGCGTTTCGTTGTGAAGAACAATTTCTTTCTTTCTGAATGAGCAGAAATCTTGTGTGGAACAAGTAAATTCACCTGTGCAGTTCTGCTCTCTTAAGGCATTTGGATTGAGAAATGGTGTAGGGCGTGAGGGGAATGTGGCTCCCGACTTGAGGGGTTGTGAAATACTGCGGACACCCTGAAGCGATATCTTGGCAAGTTGTTTGATTGTCATTTATGTATGTAGTTGAAGAACTGATACACTTTGAAAAGGTCACGCTTAAAAACATCATATTGAGGATGCTGAGGTAACTAGAGGACCTCATTTTAGTTGTATTAACCAGCAGAATCAAAATGCCATTCGAATTGGCACCTACTCAATTAAATGAGTAGTATGTACCAACCATAGGTGTCTGTTAAAGGCACGCCCTTGTAGCTCAGCCCATTCACACTAAATGCAGCATTTTATCCAATAGCAACTTTGACTACCATCTTGTCAAATTAATCAAGCCATGATACAGCCTAGGTTCCCCGTAAATTGCGGACGTGGTCTCTTCAAACTTGGACAGGTACATTTGTCACTTGCGGTGCTTACGCTCTCCGCAGTTCGGTGATCAGCCAAATGGGTGCTCGGTATAAACGGGTAACTCGCGTAGACAAATTGTAAACTACGGTGACTTAGCAAGTGGATTACGGTATTTGACGGTCTTAGGATTTCTTCAGCGGAAAAGTGGGAAGTAGAAGAAAAGTTTTGACGAAATTCACTCACACTTTTTCCCACCATACTAAAATCACGCCAAAAAATAGGAGGAGTAAAGGGCCAAAAGGTGTTTTCACTGTAAGGCATTGGGTTGTGAAATGTTTTTCGTTAGTCATCTGGGGGTGGATTTGACAGCCGGGTCATGTAGAGTTGTATGCAAACTCAAATAAGAATTTCGGGGTCTCGCATCATCTAGCTAAGAGTTGTGCGAGTATGTCTTACAGGGTAACTTCTTCTATGATTTTCCTTGTCGTATTTGTCAATGCAAAGCTAGGCCTAATGCCGAGTTCCCTAGTCTGATCAAGAGGGTGGAAGTGGTGAAAGCATTATGGCGGCATTATTGCCGCAGTAGCCTTCAACAGGAAGTCCCCGCGTGCAGTGAAGGTATCTCAAGTGTTTGGGTTCTTCTGCGAGTCCCACCTTAATCGATTGTTTACTGCGCAGCTGGTGACAGTCACGATTGATGCATTCCTGTCTCCATTAGTTCAGTCCATCAAACGGAGGCTCGTTAGCGCTCCACTCATTCATGCCTACATCTATCAAGGACCAAGCCACGTGGCTGGCGGAAGTGACGTGTGTTTACGAACGTTGGAAGCAGCTTTACGAAGCACAAATCTCTTGTTTAGTTGAAGTGAACACGTCTACGGGTTTATTATCGCCATCGCGAGTGTCTCAGTGACCAAATCATGCTTGCGGCCGAGGCCGACTCCAATAATTCATTGGATCACCGTGTGGAAGGGCTCCATCATGGGCACACAGCATAGCACACGTGGTTCCCTCTGCTACTACACAGTTGCATTGGCAGAGGGTCACGAAGTGGGAATGAAATTCGACCAATCGGAGGTTGGACGACAGGGTCGGTGAAGTGTATGTGTGCTGATGCTCTCTTAACGGAAGCAAGGAAGTGGGAGCCATCTCGGCAGCGAAATCACACAGCTGTCCAAACAGTTGTCGCCTGTTTTTATACATTCATTGAGCCTCGGTGCGGAGAGGAATGCACGTAAAGGCTCTGGAAGGCATTCATTGCCAAGTTGTGTGACAACGAGTGATTAGAGTGCCAACGGACAGACAGACTTCGCGAACATCAACCTACCGTCTATTCTCGACGGGGTTACCTACGTTTTCCGTGTTGCCTTTGAGCTTGAGGTACAGACATTTTCACGAAGAGAGCGGCTGAATTAATAACAGCATGGAGAGGGGCGATCGGCTTAGCAACGAGATAGGTTCCAGTGGCAACTTCGCAAGGCCTGAATTCCCCCCCCCCCCTTAATGTTTGCTTAATCGTTTTAGCACCACGGCCACTGCAAAAGAGCCCGAATACAATTCACCATTGATTTTAGTTGCATCAAGCTAGTTCCGGGTTTGAGATCCTCGTGTTCCACGAACTACCCAAGTCCCTCGTCCGATGGAAGAGGGGCGGGGAGATTTCACGAGATCGTATCAGATGGTGTTTGGCAAATGATGAATCAGCTTCCTGAGGAGACTTCTTCAGCAGTGAAGTCTGCGACGCTACAGACTTAGTTACCCATAATAGCGACGACGCGAATGTTGACAGCACAGAGACCCCCCGGCTGACATGCAAAATGATAAAGAGCAATGACAGTGGCATCGTTTGCTCTCCCTTAATTAAGATGCAGTCACACCTTCTGTGGTGCTGATAGCCTCATTCCTCCCTTCCCTACCACTTCGCTCAACCACCCCAAAAGTCCAGTCTAAACACTCTGCCTCATCAAAATCGAGCTTCACTTTACTAATCAAACAATTTATGATGTCAAGAAAAGCAATGGTGAGAAGTGCAAGCGGTAATATCAGAACGAGGGCAATCAACTAACTATCACCGCACCGCCTTGCACTTGCTCCACTCCGAGGACGGGTCTTGAATTACTTCGAAGCTAGGTAATCCTTCAATGCAGGCAAATTCTGCAAAGAAAAACAGGGCCTTTAATCTCAGCATCCAAGACCTCAATCCACACTTTTGCAAGTTGCAAGCAACCCATCCATCCAGTTACCTCGAAACGCGACAAGTAGGCCTGCAGTTTGGGGTACTTCTGCAGACACGTTGGCTCAAACCTCGACATCTGCATCAACAGATCGCACAGACCAAAGTCGGGATAGTTGATCTACACACAAAAGCGATAACAAGTGAATTGACACACGCCACCACTAACCAAGCAAGGGACAACAATCTCCCTACACCTGTACAGCCGACAATAGAAGGAATGCCGGTAATGCATGAAGAAAACCTCTTATCTACCTAAAAGCTATCAAATAATTAAACATAAGAGGCGAAATAGCGATAAAACATGGACTACATAAATTCAGGTGATAGAGATACACCCACCTTATCACCAGTAAGCCATTCCTTTTCACCCAAATAGGCCTCAAAGTTCGGCAGTTTTTGTGCCAGTGCCTCCAAAAAGTCCTGCTTCACCTTCTTCTGCAAAACCAAAGCAGACCAGAGTACAGAAATAATTTGACGTTGTCAATTTCTGCCAATGTTTCCATGAAGAATTGATTTACGCAATCGGGATAATAACCAGTCTTCGCAAACGCGATGCGCAAGTCTACAACCTCGCATTGAAGCATATGCAGCACCGCACGTTGCTTTTTGCAATCAGGAACTACAACGCAAACACACCACAACATAAATGCGGACTACTCAACAAAATCAAATAGAATAATCTGACAAAGAACAATCCAAACCAACTCACTCATGCCGTGTTTATCAGCAATGTACTCCAAAATGGCCCCAGACTGAGTCAACTTGAAGTCGTCGTCGATGTAGTAGGGTAACTATCGGAGCCAGTAGTTGTAAATGGAACATGAAGGCAAGACTTACATTGGGAAAGTCCAGACCCAACGAGAACTTCTCCGGCAGCCATGCACTACGGTCGTAGGTCGGAGCTGGAGACAAAGCATAAGACACGAACCACCCTCACCTACCTGGACCAATCTTGTATTGTTTGTCAGTGAACTCCACCCCCAGGTATCTCAACAGAAGACGAATCTGCTCCCCGAGCTAGGCAAAAAGAAACAGAACGGTAGTGCAAAAGTGAAAAAATCGCCTCTGAGCAACTTGAGATAGTTCGCAATAGAATCCGACGAAGAATATTTTACGAAACGTATGAATGTGCTGTTAGATAAAGTAGTGAATAACACGCTACCATGGGGCCGATTTCAACCGACTTCATTCCATGCGCATTCTATTGCGATGAAGTTGCCTCACTCACCCCTTTGACATTCCAGTATGCGAAAATGGGGACCATCGCGATGTAGGTGGATAGAAACGCAGACACGCAAGCCAAACAGACATTTGAAATCGAGGCCGATATATACACAACGCACCCAAATGACCTTTAGGAAGAGTTTGAATTGCGGGAGCATCAGCTTGTTTAAATAAGCAGCTAAAATTGAGTCCCTGCATGAAAAAGGGTTTTGTAAAAGTATTCGTTAAAGGACTAAATAGGTAAGGTAGGTATGCTACCAAGTTTTTCACAAACTATTTTCTGTCTCAGCTTGCAATAATGACGAATCAATCAGCTTACTGTGCAAGCATAACGAAAATAAGTCGTTGTTAAAAAATTTTCCTAGAAATCGTTTGAAGATTGACATCGGCACCGTGAAGATGTGAGAGGAACTGGCGCGTAGTCCCAAAGAACCCGGTGTTCCCTCATATATTCGCAGTTATATCACCAAGTTTATTGCTAGGAATTAAAAGTTTAGCGCGTCTATCATCGTCGCAATGATTTTAGCTGATAATTTGAAATCAGATCATAACACCAACTTGACAACAACAGACCAATTTCGATGGGCAGTCTTGGATTCTGTTAATTTCCTCGTAAGCCAGTGCAAAACAAGGCATTTTTAACTCTGATTTAATAATCATAGTGGCACATTTTTATTCATGATTGGGCTGCATATTATACGTATATGAAGTATTAGCCTAAAAGGGTAAATGTTTTGAAAATCTTCTCAATGCGAACTCAATGCTGATGATGCCAGCACTGAGAGATTCCCACAAGACATTGCGTGGTTAAGCATTTGCGTACTAAAAGACGGAAATTCATTGTTTTGGGGGTATTCGTACCTCTGGCATATGCAATAAATATTTAATAATATTTGAAATACAAAGTAACCTAAAAGAATGATGAATGATGGTTTTGAAATGAGTGCATTACAATGTTCCAACGGCCTAGTGATACGTACAAGCATTTCCTGACGATATGGCAAATTGAAATGAGTCTCAAGCTCCTCCCCGTTGTTGCCTTATATCCGAAAGATGGAAGAGAAGCATAAGCAAGAGGTGCTAGTGTAGCGTATTGAGACTTCCCTGAAGGCGAAAGAAGACACAAAACTCGTGCAGAATATGTATTCAGCACAGAGAAGGTGTTTGGGCTATTGACATGGCTTAAAGGCCAGCCCACCCGGCAAGGTACAAGAAGGCAAATTCAAAAGTCCAAAAGTGGCGTTTCACCAATACCGATGGATAAACCACCATCGTATTACACTAGTGCAGGCATCCAGTTTGATCATTCACCCTACCATATGTAAGCTCACTCGCGCTACACCTACTCATTCACTCATTCCCGCCTGTTTCTTCTTCTACCTCCGGCTTCGAACCCTTTGTTCGAGAAGAATAGGATAAAAAGGCCTTCAAATATTCGAGCAGAATGGGAAGGATGATATAATACAAATTTTTGATAGTAAATCTTAAATTTTGTTGATTTCCCTCCTAGATGACATTTAAAAAAGCCAAATTTGCATTCAAGCTCAAATAAATCTGTAGGGACACATGATTTATTTATGACTGTGTCACTTGGCCTACTCATATGAGGTATACCAGGCCGAAAATGGTAAACAAATTTAAAAATTTTCCTTTACACATTCGATAAAGATGTTGCCAGCATTGAGGTATTCCATCAAAATATCGCGGGGTTAAATCATTTCCGTACTAGAAGATGGGAACTCATTGTTTTGCAGGCGTCCGTGTCTCTCGCAAATGCTACAAATGTTTTGAAACGATTTGAAATACGAAATGACTTAAATGAATGCTAAATGGTGGTTTTAGAATCAAGGCATTACTGTAATACAATGGTGGTTTATTCCCCGGTATTGGCGAGGCGCCACTTTTGGACTCTTGAATTTGCTTTCTTGTACCACGCTAAGTGGGCCGGCCTTCGGGCCATGCCAGTAGCCTGAACACCTCCTCTGTGCTGAATATATATACTCTGTCCAAGCATTGTGTCTTCTTTCGTCTTCAGGGAAGGCTTGGTACGCTACATTACAGCATACGAACGACCTAGTGATTTGTAGAAGCGCTTCCTGTCGATATGACGAGTTGAAATGAGTCTGGAGCCCCTCCTTGCTGTATCGCAACGGAAGACGTCTTATGTGAGCCTTGACTAATCTCATTCACGCTCCGACTAATCAGTCATACCTGCCCTGCCCGAAGCCAAATTTATCCGATTTAGTAATTTCTTTTTCGTCCACCACATTCAGGCTCTTCGGTAGAGAAGAATATGGTGAAGAGGACATCATGGATATGAATAGTATGGAGGAGGCTAACAGATTACGGAAGCTTGCGGGGAAGTGGAGGGTTCGGCATTTCCTCGAGGAATGGGTGAGGTCCACTCAGCCGAGAGGTTGGTGTCGATTGACCGCCAGTCCCCAACGTGGCATCTGCAGACGACGTGAGATATTTGTGTTGGTACCGTGTGTTTGCAAATTTAAAAAACATCTACACAAATGTATTTCTCTCCTCTTGTTTTATTGAACCCGTCTACCAAGTTTTTCATCACCTTTGTAGATGCCACAGTGGTAAATTCATTATGGTGACAATGGAAACCAGAGACTACAAGGTCTTCTACCAATAACAGCCTCTAACAGGGAGTTCCCTCGCGCAGTGGAGGTATCTTAACGGTCCGGGCTCTTTTGCAAGGTCCACCTTGATCAACTGTCTATTCCACGGCTGGTGACAGTCATGACTGATGCATTCCTGTCTCCATTAGTTCAGTCCGTCAAATTGGGGCTCGTTAGCGCTCCACTCATTCATGCCTACATCTATCAAGGACGAGGCCACAGAGCTGACGGAAGTGACGTGTGTTTACAAATGTCCAGAGCAGGTGCACGAAGCACAAATCTCATTCTGTTGAAGTGAACACGTCTATGGGTTTAGTATCGTCATCGCGAGTGCCTCAGTGACCAAATCATGCCTACGGCGGAGGCCTGCTCCAATAACTCATTGCACCACTATGTAGAAGGGCTCCTTCGTGGGCACACAGCACAGCACACGTGGTTCCCTCTGCCACTTCGCAGTTGCCTTGGCAAAAATGCGATTAAAGACATTTTGGAGGAGTGGAGAAGAGTCGAGATTTCAACCCCATTCCCTGTGTCTAATCAGTGGGCTGCTCTTTTCATGCGTCAAGTCAACCTCGTTGCGGAGCAGAATGCTGACAGTGTCTCGGAAAGGCACTCATTTCCAATCCACATTTCACCAGCCATTCCTTTTCTGGTGGTCACAGCTAAGCATATCATAATATTCAAATGTAAAAATCCACAGTGCCGACCAAGATAAAGTTATGACGGAGGCCCGTTCTTCATCATTAAGGACAAAATTTAAAAGGCTTTATACAAGATAACTGTGGCATTAAATTAAGACAACGTTTGGATGTCCACTACTGCCTAACGCCATTGTTTACGTGCCTGGATTGTCCACTTTATTCTTTCTTTTGAAGCACACGTGAAAATTTTACCGACAGCGTTGCTTAGTAGCCTTACCCACTGCGCATCCCTATGTTAAACTCATTTGCACTTGTGGCAGTTGCGCCACACATTTGAAGCGTCGTGAATTAAAATTAAAAGCAGGGAAACAACTCGGGTTCTCACTTTGTCCTATAGAGTGACAAGCAAAGTATCGAACAGTAATGACAGGGCTTTTACTCTCTCTTAGGTAGGCATCCTCAGCATGTACTTCTGGAAGGAATATTACATCGTCCTTGAACCATTCTCAACATTAGGAGCGCCATGGATAAGGGACTTGTCTAAGGTAAATTGCTGCCAAAAGAAAGGATATGATCTCGCCTTCTATGTTGTAAATAACACTGTTTTAAAATTACGCAGCATAGACAAATTTTCAAAACCATTTATTAATTAAAAGACTCGGACAAATAGGCGAAACAATGGTAAAAAGCGGAAGCATCAGTAGCTCAGCAAGAGCGATCACCTAACTGTCACCGCGCCAATTTGCAGTAACTCCAGTACAAGGCCGGCTCCTAAACTCCTTCGAAGCTAAAAAATCCTTCAATGCAGGCAAGTTTTGCAAAGAAAAACATTGCCTTAAACCTTAGCAGGTACAAGCCTTATCCATGCTTTTGTTGCTTCCAAACAGTCAATTCAATTACCTCAAAACGAGACAAGTATGCCTGTAGTTTGGGAAATTTCTGCAGACAGGTTGACTCATACTTTAGCAGATGGATTAACAGCTCGCAAAAATTAAAGTCAGGGTAATTGATCTACAAACAAAACACGGCATCTCAGTGGCGCAACCCACATCTGATCATTAAAATAGCCAACCCACTTTTCACATCTGCAGTCGAAAATACCAAAGAAGTTCTGCTTATACCACATGAAAACACCTTACTGACTCAGCATCCACCAACTAACTGCAGAGAGCAAAGCTGTGTGAAAAAGGTAAATAGGTCTCAAAGTTTGACAGTTTTTGTGCCAAGGTGTCCAAGAAACCTGACTTCAACACTTCCTGTAAAATTTGTGCAAATCAAAGGGGATCAGATCGTGGATTAATCGCCAGTGTTTTCAAAGTGAATCCACTTACAAAATTTGGACTGTAACAAGTCATCCCAAACGCCATTCGCAAGTTCATAATCTCGCATTCAAGCATGTGCAGCACCGCACGTTGCTTTTTGCAATCAGGAACTACAACGCAAACACACCACAACATAAATGCGGACTACTCAACAAAATCAAATAGAATAATCTGACAAAGAACAATCCAAACCAACTCATTCATGCCGTGTTTATCAGCAATGTACTCCAAAATGGCCCCAGACTGAGTCAACTTGAAGTCGTCGTCGATGTAGTAGGGTAACTATCGGAGCCAGTAGTTGTAAATGGAACATGAAGGCAAGACTTACATTGGGAAAGTCCAGACCCAACGAGAACTTCTCCGGCAGTTACGTGCCCCGATCAAAGGTTGGAGCTAAAAGGGCGAGTCAAGCACAGAACAATAGCACTTACCTGGGCCCCACATATATTGCTTCTCATCGTACTTTACTCCCAAGTATTTCAACAGAAGACGGCTCTGTTCCGCAAGCTAGACCAAAATAAAACATATCTAAACGGTAAAAGCGAGTTAAAAAGGGTGTAAGCAATGACAACTCATCTCCACTGGTTGTGAAGAACGAATAACTGATTATGTATTTAAGCCTAGGTATCATGGAACCAATGAAGTCACTATTGAGCCTGATAGCAATCAACATTGCTGTTTTTACTTTTCTGAAGTCTCAGTGTAAGAAACAGGTCGCATTTACCCCCATGATATCCCAATAAGCCAAAATGGGAGCCATGACAGCAAAGGCACGAAATTCAAGCAGCTGTTCAAAATGGGAACCATTATATACTACTCATCCAAATGGCCTTGGAGACCGGCAGCAATCCATGCGCAACAACTTATTAAAATAAACTACCTGTTAAAATTCTTGCTAAAAATAGAAAACAACAATAAGTTTTGAAATAAATGAGCACTTGTTCTGGAAAAAGAGTGAAAAATGGTGAATTTTCGTAACGAAGTAATAAAATGCATTTACCCATTCCTAATTCAAAAACAAATCAAAAGGTACTCTCTAAGTATAAACATATAATAAACAAGAAAGTTGTAACTTACGAATTGGCAATAACGTAAAAAGTAGAAAACTTGGAGCATGTCTTTCATGCACCTTCCCGATTATTTTCAACGATCCATTATCTCGTAATTTACACTTACTTTGAGTATCCGATTTGTTTCTTGGTTTGAATCACCTTGCAGTATGGTTAATAACACCATGCTTTTGTAGCATCCTGGGTGTAATACGATAGTGGTTTATCCCTCGGTTCTGGTGAGGCGCCACTTTTGTACTTTGGTGGGCTGGCCTTTTGGGCCATGCCAGTAGCGCAGACACCTTCTCCGTGCTGAATATATATATTCTTTCAGAGTATTGTGTGTCTCCGTTCGTCCTCAGGCAGTTTCAGGACGCCACACCGGGACTCCCTGAAGACAAAAGAAGACAAAATACTCGGGCAGAATATATACTCAGCACAGAGAAGGCATCTGGGCTATTGGCATGGCTCAAAAGGCTAGCCCACCCAGTTAGGTGCAAGAGGGCTAATTCAAAGTTAAAAATTGGCGCCTCACCAATGCCAAGGGATAAACCACTACCGTATTACACTATCTTCTAAGTAATGTCCACTTAATGCATATTACGAATCTTGAGAACTAACTGGTTTATTGTTGATGGGTAGCCGTGGATTTTGCGACATTTTCTCAAAGGAACTGCGTTACACAGTTCAGGAATTTATGCAGACGGTATGAAGTGTATTCCGGGGAGATTGGTGCAGCCGCACCTCCAAGTTCCTGTGTAAAGACAATGCCCAGTCAGTTTAGTATTTATAAATTACCTTACAATAGACCGAAATTGCATTAAATTTCCTTACTTTTACATCTAGGTCGATGAATGTTTTGTGGTGGCATGTCGACTAATTTTTGATTAGTCTGTGTAATACGATAGTGGTTTGTCCTTCGGCATTGGTGGGGCGCCACTTTTTTACTTTGAATTAGCCCTCTTGTACCTCGCTGGGTGGGCTGGCCTGACATCTTTTCTGTGTTAAATACATATTCTGCCCAAGTATTTTGTCTTCTTTCGTCTTCAGGGAGTCCGGGGATGCTACATCTGCATAGAAATAAATGAGCAAACCAAGTGTGAAAAGAGTTGACTCTTTTTATGTAAATTTTATCAACACAACGCATTTAAACCGTTGAAGAATATGCCACCATCATTGGGGTGGTCTAACGAAACCTCGAAGCATTTGCTATTTACGCTATGCTAGATGTGGATTTATCGTCTCATCGTTATATAAGACATATCTAGGTGTTTACGGAAGTCAAAATTAAATGCACGGACAAAATGTCTCTCGTCCTGTTTAGCCAAATACGGCCATCAGTTTACTACTGCCGTAATGGCCTTCTCATACCTGCGGCCGACAAAAACGCCACTATCTCCTTGGCTAACGGCTACCCTATGCACACACTGGCCATCAGCCACAGCTCGACAGGATGACAGTCAATTTTTTGTTAACATTACGAGCGGCTATCACGTGGCCATCTTGCAGTCTCACTTAACCATAGATTTTAGCCCTTAATTACACAGTAGATGAATAACATCGTCTTAGCGAGATTTGACCATTCTCTTAAAGTTCATTATGAGTGTTAGAGCATAACTAAATAGAGAGAGGACTTACGATCATTCCAGATTGACCTATTTACGCATGGATAGGAGAACATCATTTGTCAAGTGAACGAGGATTATTTCCTGAAAGACCTGCTCCAACATTTGTGAAGATCTACGATTAGCGTAGTTAAAAGCCGTTCTATGCAACACGGAACAGTTGGGAGCATGGAACAGAATTGAGGGAGACTTGCATAGGGAGGTCCTTTAGTCAGAGACTCCGGGTACTCGATTGCCTACTAAGGAATAGGAGAGACAGGCCGATGCCACGTTTAATCATCTACAAAAACGCCTTAGCAGAACCCGGAATGGAACGAACCTTCGATAAAGCAGCTCCACATCACCGCGAGCTGCCACCATAGGTCTTATCGATTTGTCCTATTGATGGAGACGGACCGTTCAAAAGTGCCAACTTAGCAGTGTCACCTTTCCACCACCCCCTTCCCTCCTTCTTCGGCTGTTCATGCGATGCCCCGCATGTCAACGAGTTTCGCACTGGCGCTGACACTGGTCTTCCTTCTCTGCCTACAGACCACAGCAGCATCGCTACAGAACGAAAGAAATGCCGACAACAAGGGGATGTCAGTGGAGTTCCACAACAACACTCTCGGAAACAATGTTATGGATGGTGGAAGGGTGAGTGGTGAAACGGGCATGTGTGAGTGATAGCCTCTCTGTCTTCCTTCCATCCACTTTCCCCTTTTTAACCAAATTAGTCCAACGCTTCCCCTTTTCTCTCCATTCAGCTGCTCCTCAACAGCTTCTGCTTCATCTAACGATCCGGTGCTGCTTTTGCATTATCTTCGCGATTCTCCTTCTCCACTCTGTCTGATTTCCACATCCCCTCTTCCATCAGTTGTCCTCTTTCATCAATGGACACCAATCTCGCCCCTGTCCTTCCCCTTACCTTTGAAATCCCTTCTCTTTTCTTTTTGCTTCCCCCATTCAACTCTCAGTTGACGTCGCAAGCGTATCCTTCTGCCGTGTCTAACAAAAGTGGATTTTACTTTGGCCAGAAATTGTCGTTTGTTGTTAATTTGGTTTGTCAGTTGTTTGTTTGCACCATGAGAGAGACATGAATGGAACGGTGTAGGAGTTGTATTATAGGAAGAAGGGTACTTGAGTGTCCCTTACTCAGGAGGTGTAGTTGTAATAAACGGATGAAGGGCACAGGTTGTGAAGAGACTCCGTAAGCAAAGATATAACCAAACACCTAGCTATTACTTGTGGAATAACTGCGAATTCGGCTTCTCGAAGCAGCACTATCTGACCTGTCACTCCGTGGTGCCGAGTGTAGCAGTTGCGGCAAACTAAGGGCAGTTTCAGTCGATAAGTTGTGGAGGAAGAACTCCCACTCCTGACTGTTTATCTCAGGCTTGCTGTTAATTTTACCAGTCAACCGGTTCTCATCAAAGAAGCCACTTTGTTCAATAATGGATCCAAGTAATCCCCTCCTCTTTAAGATTTATTCCACCAGAGCTGCTTTGCTCAGTAACCGGGCAAGGCTGACGTCCAGTCTCGAGCATAGCTTGAGACAGTAGCACAGCCTCGTGGGGCTATGTCCAGACACAAAGTAGGGGCACTAGTCGTATTTCGGGGTCTGCTAGGAGACTGCACAATTAGCTGTGGGATACAGTCTTCACACGTGG